CATAATTAACTGTATAGCATGTTATGCAATGAACATGTCTAAGAGTTGCTGTACATTTGATTGTATTTTTCAGTCCCGGTATCTGTGGAGCAGGTCGAAAATAAAGTTGTCAAATTAGAAGGTGACAATGTGGAAGTGTACTGTAATGTGACTGCAGGTACTCCTGATCGAGCTGATATGTGGACAAAAGTCGCGACTGGTGGGCACATTGAGGGAAACCCATTGAACATCACTAACATCACCAGAGCTCAAGCTGGAGAATACAAGTGCACGGCAAACAACACGTGTGGAGAGAAGTCTACAGTGGTGGACATTGATGTGCAGTGTAAGAACATAACTAGATCTTTTTAGACAAAGTCTGCAGAGAGACTGAATGATAGTATTTTTCTTAGGTGAAAGTGGTTACTATACTATGGCGAACTTTGTTATCTGAAGTAAAGGTTTTGATATTTTGCTTTGCATCTTTTTTAGATAAACCTGATGATGTTCATTTAAACAAAAATGCAACAAACAAAGTCTGCGCGGGAATTACTATAAACTTCACATGCAGCGCTGAAGCTAACCCAGCAGTACATACTTACTTGTTGTATAAAAATGATACTGTGATTTACAATACAACACTGGGAACGGTGATAGAGACAATGGAAAATGCTGGCCAGTTTGTGTTCAGATGTGAGGCCAATAATTTCGAAGGGACTGGAAGAAGCAGTGATACTCTGTTGACCGTTCATGGTGAGCGTGCATAACTAGTTAGTACGGCAATGTTGTTATGAAGCGAGTAGGAACAATGTTACTGTCCATGGCAGGCTAGTTCTCCCCTTCTGCATCCCACCCCCCTTTCCTGCATTATGGCAGGGTACTTCCACGTATTCAAACTATCCTAATTGTAAAACACTCTGTATTGCCCATGAATACAACGCAAATACCCTGATCAGGGCCAAACCCATCCTAATCATTGTGAAACTATGGGTTCCACGCTTTATTATGTATTAAACAATTAGATTATTCGCTCTCAATTTCTATCATGTGATAGTTGATGAGGGCACAGCCCGAGTCATTTATCACGCGATAGAAATCGAGAGCGAATAATCGAATTGTTTTAGAGGTATAAATCTAATAGTGTTCAAAACTGAATCTAAATCCTCTTCGCAGGCACTTCAAAAGCGCCAAGAAGCGCCGTCATTTTGTAAACAAGGGCACACTGTTACGCTACTCACTATCTATCACAGAATAGATAGTGAGTAGCGTAGCCAATCAGAGAACGGTATTCGTGATAGAACGCTAGTAGATTTATACTGATACAATATAGATAGGACCCTGCACGCGCTCTGATTGGTCAAAAACCCATATTTTTTCCACATTTCCCCCGTGTTCTCAAATGTCCGTCGTGTTTTATCACAGTGTAATACACGGCTTAAGCTTCTTCATTTGTTAACTAAATAAGAGTTTATATGTAGGGTCGCTCTTCATGAGGCATAGCTGAATTTAATTTATTTCCCACCAAGGGGCAAGCAGTCTAATTGTTATTATTTCAGAAATTTGTCGTCAAATTACAGTTTTCAATACATTTGCGTACTTGCGGAGTAGACTTGGGTAATATAGATAAGTATATAACTAATAGCTCTTCATGCTACCAGGGCCTAATAGCTAGTAGTCGGAACATTGTATTTGAGATCCTGAGGTTGAGAGTTTGAGCTTGGCCATCTCCTTGTGTTTTGCTCTTGTTGGAGGAACTTCTTGTAAAAGTTATTTAATCCACCATGGATTCAACTAGCAGCTCTGTACATTACACCGGGATGGAATTCACTAATACGTTAGAAGCGAAGACAATTTTAACGTTCGATATATATTTTGAACCTGGGGTTTGCTCTTGCCCATTCATCAAAGGTCATGCTCAGTCACAGTATGGAACTTTCATAGCTAGAATTATTATATCAAATATTTGTAACTAATTGCATTTTTGTAGGCCCTTCTTTAAACAGTGTGTAACATGTACTAACTACTAATGAAAACTTTTACATGAATGTATTTTTACAGCCCCTGCAACTATTGTAACACAGGAAGGAAATAAAACTCCAGATGAAGGTGAAAACGTTTTAGTTTACTGTAATGTGACTGGCATTTCTGAAACAACTGTTATGTGGAAGAATGTCAAGACTGGTGAAATCATTGAGGGAAATCTGTTGAACATCACCAACATAACTAGGGCTCAAGCTGGAGAATACAAGTGCACTGCAAACAACACTTGTGGAGTGGAGTCTACAATGGCAAACATTGATGTGCAGTGTAAGAAAATAACTGTTACATTGTTATATTTTTGTATAGGTCTGATCTCGTGGTCCTACTATTATTAAATGTTCGTTTCCATAATAGTGTTTCAAGTGCAATGTACAAGTAAGTACCAAAGAAATAGAGAGAACAAAGGTTTATCAGTTGAAAGTCTTTGAGACCTGCCATTGAAGTATCAGGAAGGCTAGAGTGTTCTTTTCTGACAAACTCATCACACAACCAACTGGTGTTTACACCCAGAACAAGAAACCTGCCTCCCTGCTTGTTCTAAAGGGGTTGAATTATGCTCCAAGTATAATTAATAATAATAATAATAATAATGATAATGATAATGATAATGATAATGATAATGATAATGATAGTGATAGTGATAGTGATAGTGATAG